AACCATTTCTGAGGCACAGAATGTATCCGAGGCCCTATGCTAGTTTCCGCTTCGTCGCTATCAAGAATTTATCACAACCTGTCACTAAGACTATCAGTCTCTGAAGCTCTGACTCTGGCTGATGGAATCCTGCTTAACTTGGGGGAACCTTCAGACACACCCTGACGCCAGGGAGGAGGGCGGCCAGGGCAGGGGGTGGCGCCTGGAGGGTCGGCCATGCTTTCCTTCCATTCTGGGCACGCGGGCGAGTTGCGTGACCTCCCTGTGCCTCGACCCCCTCGCCTGTGACGTCAGCGCTGATGACACTCTGCAGGGCTGGTTACCGAACACCTGCTCTGCTTGCCTCCTGTGATGACCCGCTGAAGTTCCGAGCTGCTTGCCTCGGCCTGAGCTCACGATGCCACATGCTCTTCAACTTCTCCTTCCTCTTTCCGAAACTCTCGTGGATGTGGGGCTCCCATGAGCACAAAATTAAATTTGATTTTTCTCTTGTTAATCTGTCTCGTGTCCATTTTGTTATTCGACCAGCCAAAAGCTCCAGAGGAGGGAACGAAGAATTTTTCCCTTTCTCACAATATTGAACACATTTAGAGTGAAGTCTGGCATGTGGTCAGTGCTCAGTAAATGCCGGATGTTCGCTTCCTCGTGGGGGAAAGTTTTTTTTAGGTCCTAACCAGTTGTCCGTCTCATGAGAAGAATAGACATCTACCTTTGCTAATCAGGCCTCTACGGGCTTTGCACGTGACGGCCCCTGTACCTGAGCCAGGTAACTTCTTGTGACCAACAGCCAGAGAAATGTCATAAAGATTATACTTAGACTGTGTTTTTTAACTTTTGTAAATGACAGCACTAATTATCTTATTTAACAACGAAAGCATTCACTTAATTATACCAGCTTTTGTCCACAGATTTTCATTGAATTAGACTTGGAACTCTGAAAAAGAAATAAATCAAAGGACCAGGTTTCTTCGACAAAAAACTTACGAGAAACAGAGAGTCGGAGAGGGAAATTATAAACAGTGACTCGGGAGACTCATCAACCACCTGCAACATATGGACCTTATTTGGGTCTTGTAAGTTACAAACGCCTGATCTGGAATTTGTATGACGGTGTTCACGAGTCGGCAGGGGGAACCGGAACACCGGGCGGAAAGAGATATTTGATGATGTTAAGGAAATACCAATTTTTCAGGTGGTAATTTCTTTAACATTAGCTTTTTTAGAGATAAACCCTGAAATATTTACATTTGAAAAAAATATTATGTCAGGAATTTGTCTCCAAATAATCTTGGGGCACAAGGGAAGACTGCAAAGGGATGTGGTTAAAACAAGATCAGCCCTGGGTGACAATTATGGAGCTGCTGGTGGTGGGTACATGAGACTTTATGACTCGATTCTGTTTTTTTTTTATATGTCTGAAATTCTCTAAAATACTTGAAAAATACACGATGATTTTAAAATACCCACACATCCCACACTGCACACTGTAGGGCATAAGAAGAAACACCACGATGCCTCGAAACCACACCCTTCACTTACAGTACATTTTTCCGGGACGATGCGTATACTGGACACTCATTAGCTGTGCCAGGGGCAGGAAAGGGAGCAGGACCTGGCACCAGTTTAGAGATGAAGGGAATGACAGAGGTAAGTGAAGGGGTCGAGGCAGCAGCAGTCGATGGCAGAGGCCAGATCCAAGCAGAGCTCAGGTCTGTGCAGCCCGTCCCCTCTCGGACGCTAACGGTGATGTAGCTCGGGTGGTGACGTAGCCCGGGGCAGTCTGACCGGGGCAGTCTGAACAAGGCTGCTCCAGCGAGGTTTTAAACACTCCCTGAAAGAACAATCTCCACGCAAAAGTCAGGAAAAGAAATCTGAGGCTGTTCCAAACCCTGGTGAGCGTGTTTTCATTCTTATGCATCCTGCATCCTTTTGCCAATCACGTTTATGGTGATTATGAATCTGGGAGGTGAGAGCTATGCCCAGCTCAGAGCGGAGTCGCAGGGGAGGGGAATTCAGGCTTGATTTCCCCTGTGGTCATTACAGGCCGGGTCGGGTATTAGAGGAGCCTGTGTGTGTGACGGAGAGCGAGCAGGGAGAGAGACGGAGCAGAAGGGGGAAGGTGGGGGAAGAGGGAGGGAAGGAGAAGGGTATGGAACACAGGCGGATCATTTACAGAAAACGCCCAGCTCCTAGCTGAACTCGAAGACCATAAATATAATATTTTGGGGATCCTGCACCCAAACTAACCCAGACTTATTCTCTACTTTAACCAAGTAAATAGAAATAAAACAAGGGAACTCTGTCGATCAAAACCTATTAGGACGTTTTAGAAAATTTGAAAATGTTTATCACAAGACAAAACTGAGAGACGAGGTGATATTAATCCTAAATTAACGCAATTTGAACATCAACGACAACGGGAAATTTGTGTCCCTCCAAATCTCTGGCCTAATAGGAATGAGCAGAAGAGTGACTTCATGTCTCCCTTTTACATTCCACGTCATCCGTGAAGTGTGTTAGAGACCGCAGATCATACAGACGCTGCTATGAAGTTTTCTGTTAAACTAAACCACCTATAAACCAAGCTCTGAGACGGACTTCCACATGTAAGCGGGCATTATCTCTAATCCTCCAAATTTCTAAAGCAGGTGCTAAGCTGTCACTTGGATCAGTTTCTCATGCCTGTATGTTTCCATTTGAGTGGCGCTGATACGTGAACGGGGAAGGGTTTTCTACCTCACTGATTCATCTCTTTCAACAGTATAGAAAGTAGCTTCTGAAACAGTATTTCTCTCGATATTTCCACACCTCATAAATTCTGTCCTTGCTGCACAAAAAACGTCACCTTTAAATTCTATGGACACAGTCCGCTGTCGAGAAATAGAAAGTACGCTTACTAATAGGTGAATAGGTGAACATTAGCATAGAAATTAATTCGCCAAAGAATTTTATGGCTATAAATGCATTAAAAATAAGCCTCATGAATATTTCCTCGGGAAAGAAACCCTTTTTTTACTAGAAAAGAAATACCCCAGGATTGTTTTGTGTTTATAAAACAATATATGTGGCTCGATGTTGCTTAAAATTGTCAGCATTTATTTTAATAAGTATTTTTTTTTAACATGGTACAGTTGGGTCGTTGTGATTTGTATGATAGAATTTAAATTCTAAATTTAAATTTAAACATTGTAATGTAAAAGACGGTTGGGGGTGCTCAACTTAAAAAATATATACGTAAGTTTAAAGTACACAAAAACATTCACTATAAGTTCTTCCTAAATATCGAAAGTTTGTCGTAAAAGAACAGCAACAGGTAAGACTCAAAGCACTGAGAAAGGGGAAAAAACATATATATATCTATATACACATATTTTTTTACATTTACACATATATATGTGAAAACTTTATAATTTTCATGGCTCTGACACATTAACCGCAAAGTTTTGAAGTATTTTGGTCATCTCTTGATATCATTTAATTCAGATGGGATAAGAATCAGATAATTGTTTACTGAAAATTTGAAAAATATGATGTACTGACCTTGATGAACAAACTTCAGACTTCAGAGATATTGTTTCTCCCTTGAATTATCAATACAAAATAACTCAAATAACAGATCTGATATCAATGCCACCCTTTCATTTCATAATAATTACTACAGTTCTCCAGCCCTTTGGCGTTTTTCAAAGAATCTGAGCCTGCATCGTCCCACCTAACCCCTGTGGAAAACTCCAAGGATCGGAAGCTTAGAAATCACAGGATTCTACAGATGAGAAATTGAGGCTGACAGAAGAAAAGCACAGGGTCATAGGGTCTAAAGCTTCATCGTGAGGTCTAAACGATTTCAACACTGAGAAATTCCAGTCAGATCTCCCGGTGCAGTTACCTGATTGGTCGATTCTCTTTACTGTCAAAGAGCGAGAAGATGACCTCGAGCTCCTCCCCCAGGTTAGAGCACATGAGGCTCTTCATCTGCACGAACAGGTGGTGGCTGCTGGCCTGCACAGGGGTGTCTTTCTTCCGATGTCGATGCTCCATCTGAGTGACACCCCCCCAACAAACATGTCATCAGAAATGGACTGAAGAAAACAATGGACCCCACATGCCTGCAAGCTACGGTGTGAGCACGATGTTCTGTACTATACAGATGTGCCTCGACTTACTAAGGGGCCATGTCCCCATACACCCACTGTAAGTTCAAGACATCACAGATTGGAAATGCGTTTAATACGCCCCACCCACCGCACATCGTCGCGGAGCGGGGCCCACCCAGAACGCACTCAGAACGCGCACAGGAGCCCACGGCTGGGCCTGTATCTTGAGGTTCATCTCAAGAGTCACTGCCTTTCTCTTCTCACAAGAAGCAGGAGACAAAGGTGGGTGTTTTGTAGACACAGCGGGGTGTGAAAACACACAACACAATGTCCAGAAAAAGACTCAAAGCACTGAGAAAGGGGAAAAAACATATATATCTATATACACATATTTTTTTACATTTACACATATATATGTGAAAACTTTATAATTTCATGGCTCTGACACATTAACCGCAAAGTTTTGAAGTATTTTGGTCATCTCTTGATATCATTTAATTCAGATGGGATAAGAATCATATAATTGTTTACTGAAAATTTGAAAAATATGATGTATTGACCTTGATGAACAAACTTCAGACTTCAGAGATATTGTTTCTCCCTTGAATTATCAATACAAAATAACTCAAATAACAGATCTGATATCAATGCCACCCTTTCATTTCATAATAATTACTACAGTTCTCCAGCCCTTTGGCGTTTTTCAAAGAATCTGAGCCTGCATCGTCCCACCTAACCCCTGTGGAAAACTCCAAGGATCGGAAGCTTAGAAATCACAGGATTCTACAGATGAGAAATTGAGGCTGACAGAAGAAAAGCACAGGGTCATAGGGTCTAAAGCTTCATCGTGAGGTCTAAACGATTTCAACACTGAGAAATTCCAGTCAGATCTCCCGGTGCAGTTACCTGATTGGTCGATTCTCTTTACTGTCAAAGAGCGAGAAGATGACCTCGAGCTCCTCCCCCAGGTTAGAGCACATGAGGCTCTTCATCTGCACGAACAGGTGGTGGCTGCTGGCCTGCACAGGGGTGTCTTTCTTCCGATGTCGATGCTCCATCTGAGTGACACCCCCCCAACAAACATGTCATCAGAAATGGACTGAAGAAAACAATGGACCCCACAAGCCTGCAAGCTACGGTGTGAGCACGATGTTCTGTACTATACAGATGTGCCTCGACTTACTAAGGGGCCATGTCCCCATACACCCACTGTAAGTTCAAGACATCACAGATTGGAAATGCGTTTAATACGCCCCACCCACCGCACATCGTCGCGGAGCGGGGCCCACCCGGAACGCACTCAGAACGCGCACAGGAGCCCACGGCTGGGCCTGTATCTTGAGGTTCATCTCAAGAGTCACTGCCTTTCTCTTCTCACAAGAAGCAGGAGACAAAGGTGGGTGTTTTGTAGACACAGCGGGGTGTGAAAACACAAAACACAATGTCCAGAAAACGCTGACAACACAGTACACTGTAGGGCATCGCTATTCACCCTCGTGATCGCCTGGGTGACGGGGAGCTGCGGCTTGCTGCCGCTGTCCAGGGTGCTGTCGCTGTCCAGCATCACGAGAAAGTGCGCACCCCAAGTCACTAGTCCGGGGAAAAATCAATGTTCGAAATTCAAAGTACGCTTTCAACTGAATGTGTATAGCTTTTGCACCACTGTGAAGCTGAAAAATCTTAAGTCGAACCACTGCAAGTCGGGGACCATCTGTAATATTTTTTATGCTATGGATTTGGGATCTGGTTAGATGTTAAATTCCAAATTTGCTGCCAACTTCTAAAGTAAGAAAGTATGACGTTTGTAAACTATCAAGGAATCTTGTTTAAAGAATTTATTTTTTTAATCATTAATGCTGAGTAGATTCGAGAAGCATGAAGTTCGAAGGATTCTACTGCTTCCTTATCAACTCCCAGGGCGAGAACAAATTATTAGTCATCTTTAAAAAAATCAGACTAAATTGTAACTAATGATCATTTCATTGATAGTAGCTAAATAATGCAGCTATGACTTCGCATTTCTCATAATTAAAAGATCTTTCAAAGTATGCCAAATTGCAAAATATGGTGGTTTTCTGAGACAGGCAGTGGCGAAAGATATTCAATCACTGGAGCACGAAAATCTTTCTAGCTTGCTGTGAGGCTCTAGACAGGGACCTACAGAAACCAAGGAGGCGTCTTAAGGTAGGAACAGTATCTGTGTCCATCTGTCATTTCTGACCTCCACACAGCCAGCCGAGGCTACACCTGGGAGGCGGGACCAGAAGTAAGAGTTACTACAAGATGGGGGAGGAAAGGAATCGCTCACGGTCTCAGAAGTGAGGAGAACGTGCGGATGATCATTCAACATACATTTGTTGAGTATCGATTATGTGCCAAGCACGAGGAGTGCAATGATGAGCACAACCAGAACTAGCCCGAGCCTTCACGGAGCTTATCCACCAGCGGGGGCAGACGTCAACTAAACGGTCACACTCCCAGATGTAAAACTCAACTGTGACGAACGAAGGGGAGGAACTAGGTCATCATGAGACTCTGAGGGGGGCCTGACCTGTGCCGGGGCAGTCAAAGGGGGCTTTCTAGGAAAGTGACACTTTAGCCGAGAGCTAAGGTGTGAGCAGGAACCACGACCCGCTCAGAGCACTGCTTCTCAAACCACGGGCAGCAAGGGACCGGGCTGTTTCTCCCCCCAGCCCGCTGCAGACCAACATTTTCATAAAATACGATGAAAATGGCAACGTCCGAATGTCACAGACGTTTCTAAATGCTACTTGGACCAGTTACAAACCGTTCACGGTCTGGCCAGTCCTTGGACCCCACTGCGGGCAGAACCGACTCGGGCTAAGAGGAGGGAAACACGCAAAGGCTGAGTGACCGTCCTGGAGCTGAGCGTGGAGGATTAGTGCTTTCAGAACACAGACTACCGATGAGGCCATTTCTTTTGACTCACTTGACAATTAACAAAAAAAAAGCTCAGAGACTTGAACTCCCCTGTAAGGAGTCAGGCCCTTTGCTTGAGGTTGAGGTGTATAACCTCATTTCTACTTTAGCCACCTCATTATGCGTCTAAGTATGATGCAATGACTTTTGACGACCAAGCGGGAAGGCAAGAAATGCCATCCCAATTTACACTTGCAAATGCAGCAGCATAAAACCACCAGAACTTGTTTATGTTTTTATGTTTTAATTTGAACTACTTGAAAAGTAAATGGTCTAAAAAAGTGCAATTAACCAAATGCATCTATAATCACTGAATACTCAATGGGTATACCAGACTCTTCTCTGTAAAATTAGAGAGAAAGTACATTTTCTTTTAACGTGGGTGGACCTCAGCACTGTGCTATGTGGTGGCCATAATTGTTTAAAAACGTTTCCTGCAGAAAAAAATCTTCTAACTAGAAAAAAGCATAATTCTGCCTTGTTTTCTATAAAGGTTGCTCTATTTTGTGCTTTTAAAATGCTTTTAATAACCCATGGCAGAAGCATCACACATTCATAAAAATACATTTCTTTAACTCACAAAGAAGTTTTGTTTTGTTTTTTTCCTGAAAATTGCTAACTTATTTACTGATTTACTTTATAGCTCAGGGTAACAGAGCACAAACTACTAGGAAAAAACAAACGCCTACTAAAGGCTAAGGCTGGAGAAAGAGATATAAAAACCTTATGAAAAGAACAGACTTCAAAAAGGTATCTGGTCTTTACTTCAAATAGTGCCAAGTTCCCAAATCAATCATGACATTCACTAAAAACCGAGGGGAAAAATTAGCTCCGTTACTCATGCAAAGAATCCAATATATCTAAATCAGTGGATCTCAACCTTGGCTGCACTTCAGAATCACCAAGAGAGCTTTTAAAAATTACTTATAGCCAGGTCCCATCCCAGAACAATTAAACGAGAATTTCCAGGGGCTGGGGCTCCAGACAGCAGTAGTTTTAAAAGCTCCCCAGGTGATTTTAATGTGCGATGAGGGCTGAGAATCCCTGATTGAGATCATATGCAGAGATGCAAACCGCAGCTGAATGAAAACGTACTGCTGGCTCGTGCACATCACCAGTGCCCTGAACGTTCGCTCTCTGCGCGCACGCGAGCAATAAGCCTGCCTGCTCCTGTCCTCTGCACGGTCATGAGTCCTCATGGCTGGTGCTCCCCCGCCACCCCCCGCCCCATTCTTCCAGGTCTGGGAAGGATCTGGACTTAAGTAGGGTATGATTGCTTGTTTATCCCTTGGTAATTCACTACTTTGGGGAACTGCTAAAAATATCTCTGAAAATATTGCTAAAAAAACAAAATTTAAAAGGCACGCTCATACTTCAAGGGCTATAATTTGGGAGTTCCAACATACAGACAAAAATCCGTCTCTGAAATAATTTATGGTTACAAAGGCACCTATCTAAATGTGCTTACAGTTCAGCTAGATCTTTGATTAGGAAAATAAACAGATTCCAAAGATTTATTTATTTAAGTGACACAAATGTTTAATCCTCGTATAAGCATTAATGGCTGGGTGAACTGTCTGCCTGGGGCGTTTTCCACTTCAACGCTATTGACAGTTTGGCTGCTTATTTCTGCTGTGGGGGGCTGTCCTGGGCTTTGTCAGACGTTTAGCAGCTTTCTCTAGCCTCTGACTAAAGACATCTCTCCCCAGCCCTGCCCACAGCATCCCCAACTGAGACAACCAAAAATGTCTGCAGACACTGCCAAATACATCTCCTGGGGGAAAAAACTGCCTGTTTGAAAACCACTGGTCTACCCATTAAGGATCACGAAACACGCAGGGGACATAACCTTATAAAATCAAGAAAGACTCCTGAGAAGATGCTCCACGTGCACAGGTAACCGGAGAATCCAGCTACTAAGGTCGACTTCTCGCAGAAGGACTGGGTCTGGCCTCTGGCAATAAACCAGACCTTCCGAACAGACAAATGTTAACACTGTGGCATTGACCAGTTAGGCCGACACTGGGTGAGAACGATCTGCTAACAGGGCTATGGAAACTTACGGGGAGACTTTTTATTAATGATGCGATAAGGATTTACTGAGGTGGTAACACTTGGGCTTCAAATGTGAAGAGACCTGGCAATAATTGAACTTCCTCTTTTGGGCATTTTACCTCCATGCTGTGGTCCTCGATCCATGAGGAATAATGAATCACCACAAGGACAACAGCATGGGGAAGTCACACAGTCAGTCCCTTTTCTGCTGCCCGGGGAGAAAGCGCCGTCCATGCCCCAGACGCCCTGAGCGATCCAGGCCAGCATGCAGACAGGAACGCGAAGCGGCCTTGAAGAACAGGACTCGTCCTTCTCAAGCTGACAATCACTTGGGGTTTTCTCGGGCTGTTTTCTTTGCTTTAGAAACAGTAAAATGCAACCACTCCTGAGGAGAAATTACATTTTCATATAAAATCGCAATGTTTTATCTTCCTCATCTGTAAAACGAGGACTGTCACGGCTAATTAATGGCCGTTCTCTCCCACCAACAGTGGTCATTGCCAATCGATCACAGCCCGGAGGAGGCCCCTGCCCTGAATCGCATCAACATGGCGCTCCTGGCAGCCACCACTAACAAAGTGGGATGGTGAGCGATACAATCAATTTGCCATCCCACGTGACAGTAAGTGAAAAGAACAGAGATACCTTTGCCGGCACATAAAGTCGGACTACGGGAAATAAAAGGTATTTGTGGCAGACGTTTTTAGTTGCTTGTCAAATATTTGACATCCCCACCTAAATATGGGGATGGGACTACATTCTGGCCAATGAAATACAAGCGCAAGTGTCGTGTGAAATTTCCAAGAAGGTTCATTAAAGTGGATGAATCACTGAGAGGAAGCTTTCTCCCTCCTACTGCTGGAGAGCAGATGCAATGGCTAGAGCTCCGGCAGCCAAATTGTACTTTGAAGTATTCTAGATAATGGAAGCCACACACTGCATAGCAAAAAAAATCAAACTGTATCCACTTCTGACACCACGAAACCACAAAAAAGCCCAGAACGTCCTACTTTTGGACGTGCATATTGTGAGAGAGAAATTTCGAGCACATCTAGGCTTCTATGACTTATTTATTTCATTGAACACAGCTAGATCTAATTTTCAGGTTTAGCATATGAGGTGTCAGGTACTCTTGCCACCTTGCCTGTATAATAAGAATAAAATAATGAGAAAGAAACTGAAATCGACTGGATGCTCAGGTGCTCTATAAACATCATTTGTCAAGGAAAGGCTTTCTACATGCATTTCTTATTTAATCATCATAGAAAAAAAAACATGGTAAGAATTGCTTTCCCATTTAACAGATGAAGAGCTGAGGCTCTGGGAGATAAGGGGTAAGTCCAAGATCACAGACCTGGTAACAGGAAGCGATGGAAGTAGAATCTCGTGGCTCTGATCTCCACCCATGGTCTTTCCAGAACCCCATTAGGATCTAAAAGACAGCAAGTGCTAAGTGCCAAGCACTGCGCAGGGCGATCTAGGGCCTAACAGAGGAAGTATAAGATGCAGTGCGCCCTCTGAAGCTAAAGAAACTTCAAAGGGAGTGAGAGATTTTTAAGAAGCGAGCAGCCTCAACAAGAGAGATGTCCCACGAGAGGATGTGACTGACGAAGGAGCTGTACAGGTTTGTGATAAAAACCAAGCGGCAGTGAGGGCGCTAACGTGGAGCGCTCCCGCCTCACCGCTCCGTCCTGCCCTGCACGGCAGGCCCTGAGCTGCCTCCCAGCGGGCGGCCGAGACTCTGCTCAGCACCGCGGCCGGATGGCGTGCAGCGTGCACTGTCACGCTCGAGGCACTCGGGCTAGAGGAGACCCTCCCCAGGAACGAAATTTATTTCAACTGACATAATGAAGTGTAGACAATCTGGACAGATCGATGCTTCAGGGAAGAACTGACAGCCGTATGAAGAATCGACAGGAGCCTCGATGACGATTTTCCCCGACATTTTTCAGGTACGGATGATCGACCTCAGGTCACGAAGAGCCCACTACTCTATAAAACACCAGAGGCTTGCAAGCTGCCCAAAGGGAGGCAGGGTCTTCTGAAAAAGAGCTACTGCCCTCCACAGGTGCTCCTCCCAGGAACACAGGGCAGGACGCAGCAGCACCTGATCCAGGTAAACCCCCCCTGGGGGAGGGGCCTTGGAAAGCCCTGCCCAACCGTCTTCTCAGATTTCGGGTTTAAGAGGGTTTGGTTGATATTAAGAGATTACATAAATATTATATAACCCTTAAGGCGACAAGACTAAGTATGAGGTTGATGGGACCAGACTTGGAAAACTGAGATGCCAAGCAAACAACGGGGCTTTAAGCGGCCACGAGTCACAGGTGGTGCCGCAGTAGGCGGTACCATCAGGTGTCAGGCTAACTCACAGGCTTCGGCACTTAGGGATGGACTGGGGCCTGGGAGGGGCGGGGCGAGGCCAGTGGGGGACCAAGGAGACACTTTCGGAAGTCTGGGCGTGTGCTGATGATGGGGGCGGGGAGGGCGAGCAAGGGCTGGTACCGTCAGTCACGGCAGTGGAGATGCGCGACTTGAAACCACGTCGCCAGACTAGGCGAGAAGCACAAAGATCTGCGAACGAACTTAGAGCTTGCTTGGGCTTTCTTCCCAGCGCCTGGGGCGGGGGGGCTCGGTGGAGGGCATCATGTCATCCCGAGAGAGGTCGGCTTTCTCAGCTCTGTGCCCAGGGCCTGGTCACCTCAGCTCTCAGTTCTCCTCACTCCTAATTCAATCTGGAATGCCCCGTTCTCACGAAATCAAGCGAGTATGCAAAGCGCCTCGGAAACCGTGAGCCGAGGCCACCTGTACCCACCAGGCGGTAGAGCTCGGTGATGCTGACGTCCTCGGGGTCCACCACCACGTACTCTTTCCTGGGCACCAGGTCCAGCCCTAGTTGTCTAGAAGACAAATTGCAAAACTTTAGGAGAAAAGACATCTTTCCGGAATATATTAAAATTAACCTTTTTTTTTTCTTTTTTAAACTACATCACCTTGAAATTAGACGTATCAGCCCCCATGCTTTCCTCACCCATATTTTTTACCTTGTATGACTTGTTACCACGGGGGGTGGAGGGGGGCGGGGCGGGTCAGCCAATGTAACAAGGCTGGGCATGGGCATGAGCCGGGAAACAGAAGGTGACAAGGGCAGGCAAATCAGGGGGGATGGACGGGCACTCTCAGTGGGGTGCCCCTGCCCTTGGGGGCCTCGATGTCATATGGTGCGGAGCCTTGAACACTATTATCACAGAACTATTACCACAGAAACCCTTCCACACTGGAGTGGGGTAGAAATTAGAGCTAGACGTAATTTTGTTCTAGAAGTTGGAGTTGCAGAGAAGGAGGTCTGGGCATTAGGATTTGACCCGAGTTAGGTCCAGGGCTGACTCATTTCTGATCGGAGTCTGTGGCAATGTGCGTGGCTGCCATTCCCTCTGGGGCTGGTCGCTAGGAGAAACCCGTTAAGGCAGCGGAAAGAGGCTGGGGCAGCACATCCCTAGGCCTGGCCTGGCACAATGGTTTAGAGTCAGGTTTCATCATGGCCGACACGTGGCCCGCTGTGCTGAGCACTGTAAGGCTGTCTCTAGCCTCCGAGATCAAGCATAGTAACTGACTGGTGTCTCACCAGGCGCAGAGCCAAACCCGACCCAAGAACAACTAATCCATGGACAGGACAGTAGCTGATGAGTGTCTGGTGTAAAATGCTCAGTCTAAACAGGGGTGAATAACAGATACTGGCTAACAGACAGTCCTCCTGTGAGAATTTGAATCTGGAGCTCCAGAGAGCAACAATGTGTGACAACAGGAAGAAAAGACACGTAAAGAGTAGCTGGTCCGCCTCACTGGCAGCAGAGGTTCCGGAGGTGTGGGGTCCAGAACTGTCCTGGCCTTTGGGGCCCCCGGACCCTGAAATCTGTAAGTGTCCTTCTGTCCTAAAACTCTGATTGTTCGGCTGCTGGCTTCCTGGCTCCCGCTGTGCGGAGAGAGTTTTATCTGTTTCTATTTCCTGTTTCTATTTGGTTTTGTCGATTCCTAGGTCTGTCCTTAGGATGAACCTCCCACGGCCTGAGGTTTCACGGAACGGCATCAGGCCAGTGCTCTAAAAACAAGGAGAAATGAGGCCGGCAGAAGGACAAGCTGGAAGGACAGCACACAGGATGGAGAAGCCAGTGGGGGAAGGCAGGGGAGGGTCACGTTTTATACCAGCTGTCACCAAACTGCTCTGGGAAATTGGGAAAGAGGAACTGATTCTCCGTCCCACACCCTCTTAGCAAGAAAGTCAAAGGACATCACAGGACATGGGGAACAGAAACAGGTGCCATTACTTTAACTCTGGTTCCAGGCGTCGGGGAGAGAGCGCGTCTTTAGACGTCCCCGTTAGGGAATGAGATGATTGACACGTCCTCCCCCTGAGCTTTCACTGCCTGGAGGCTTCGCTTGGTCACTCTACGGTCTGACATACGACGTGAGACTGACCACGTTTTTAACCTACGTTCATCCACAGAGCTACAGGCTGATGAATAATTTTGCAGGACAGTTTGATCTAGTTTAATATGCAAGAGAATAATCTGAAATTGCTTTCCACTTAGCATTATTCAATCAGAAAACTAATTTATACTTAAAGGAATAAGGTGAACGCGTGGCCTGTATGCCGTAAGTCATTTTTCTACAAGTGGTCAAAGAAATTCAAAGAAAACAGAATGAGACCAGAAAATTCATGAATTTGAGGATGATCTAAATAAATTCTACTGCTCATTTTCATGCACCAGTGTTTCCCCAGCTTATTATAAATTAGCCATGGAACTGCCTGAAGTACACGCTGGAATTCACTGGCGTAAACTGAGGCGTGACTTGGTCACAAGCCCTGTCTCTCCTCCTTTCCCTTTCGTTCTGTTATTAGCTTCTCTCCGAAAGCCGAAAAAGTACCATCTTCTTGCCTGCTCTATATCTCTAAGCTATTTTTTTGTTGTGTTTGTTTGTTTGTTTGTTTGTTTAACAGGTATTTGGTTGGTTTTCCGGCATTGATCAGATATGCTGGTTCTGGTAGCTTACAAGTGTAGCTGGGTCATTAGCTAATGCAGACGGATGTTTGCTGTGACAGGCTAATGGGCCTCGGGAAAGCGTCGATGCTCAGAGCAACTGGTACCGTGGCCAGGAGAACTTGTGTGACTCGGGAGTCATTTTCCCCTTTCCGTCAGGGTGGGGAGAAGCGGACCTCCTCGTCCCCGAATCTGCTCTTGTCTGCGGGGGCTGCCGTGCTATCTCCGATGGCTGGGGCTCAAAGACGTCAGGAAGAGACCCCACGGGTGCTCCCCAACACAGAGATAACGTGCTCTTCCTGGAGGCGGCACGGCGCTGTCTTTGGGGGCGGGGGCTGCGCACCTCGAAAACCCTGAACGTGACCGTGTGGAAGATGCTCGGACTAATGTTATCAAATACGCAGCCTTGTTAAGTAAACTTGAGACAGAAGGGAAAGCCCTTCATGATAAACGAGTGTCCTTGAATTCAGTACTGTAGTATTTGTAATTAAACATGTCTTCTCTGTAATTTCAAGGCTCTGACAGGGTCCAAGAGACCAGACTTGGGAAGGGGAAGGCTGGGGCTGGTGAAGGGAGTGAAGGGGGCAATCTGGGGGCCAAGGACGAGCCTGGGTGGAAATGCAGTGTGTACTTTCACAGCTCGCCCACTTGTTTACCTTGTTAAAGCCCCAGACTTATAAGTGGTTAACCATTCATCCCACACCGGGATACACTTGAATGTGAGGCACCGGGCAGAGAAGCATCTCAGCTGGCAAGTCACGTTTTTAAAAACACTTGGCCTGCAGAAGAACACCACCTCTGCTGGGGTCAAGTTTTTGTTTAAGTCTGTATTTCTAGAGAGGTATCAAAAGGCAAGGCGGTCAGCGTTTATGTGTGCCTGCGTGCGGGTGCAACGCCCCATGCGGGGTACAACGCCTTGCAGGACGTGTGTGCCTGCGTGCGGGTAGCGGTCAGTGTTTATGTGTGCCTGCGTGCGGGTGCAACGCCTTGCAGGACGTGTGTGCCTGCGTGCGGGTGTGACGCCTCGGCAGGAACCAAAGCTGGCTTCTGATAAAGCACCTTCCCAGGCGAGGGGGGCGGCTCTCCACTTTCTCGTCGGTTTTTCCAGATTCAGTGACAGGCAGATTCATCTGTGGTAGACCTCTCCTGTCTGCTTCTCTTTTATTCTGTCCCTCTAAGATCCGGTGATGGTCCAAAGAGCAAACGGAGATTTGGGGAGAGGAAAGGCAAGGAGGGTACAGCCACAGACGATCCTGAGGGACCTTTTAACTTCTTTAAACTTCAGCCGAGCCAAGCTTAGGACGAGGGTAGAAGCTGGCTCGCTCCGACTGCTCGCCCGCATGTTAACAGTCACACTCAGCATATCAGCCCCGATCGGAGCTTTAGGCAATCAGATTCACTATTTATCTCGGCAGTTCCTTTAGATTAGTCATTTACAGGTTTATTTTAAAGTAAATCTTGGTCAAGAGCTGCATTTTATCAAGTTCTGCCGAGCAGCCCCTCAAGGAGGCTACTGCACACACACAGGACGACCCCGGCAGCGGGAGGGCCCGGCCGTGCACCTGCGCTGTCACCAGGGCTGTGGCCTGAGCGACTCCTCCAGATGACACTGGCGACTGGTGACCACGACACGGAGGTGGCACACAGTAGAAGGGAACGCACAGGTCAAACCTAAAGGCTATTTGAAAACACCTGTTTCTGTAGAAGACGTAGCTCACTGATGCCTGTGAATGCATCATACTCTGGGACGTGCCCACCATCAGACCAGAGGCCGCCAGCGGGCGAACAACGCCCCGCTGCCCACAGCAGCCAGGGGCTGGGGTGCTCCCTCCATCACGACAGTCTGCACTGAACCCCCGAGAGGACCGCGGAACAGCCTGCGCGTGTCACCCGCGGTAACGCCACACCAGGCTCGTGTCCGCGTCACCTGGCCGTGCCCGGCCCCCAGGGCCCCGCGGTGGGCGGTACTCACTCGTTGCCCCAGTCGAGGCGGGCAGTGATGTGGCGCTTCACGTCCTTCGTGCGGTCGTGAGTCAGGTGGCCCAGCAGCACCTGCCGCCGCAGGTCCAGGACCTCGTTCATGATGTGCCACAGCCGGTGGAAGAGGTCGCCCTCGTTCCTCTAGGAAACACGCAAACGCGAGACCCGGCCTCAGTCCCCATGCTGAGCTGCGGGGTAACGACGCAGGGTAGGGAGGGGTGCGTCCTGCTCACCCTCCGTGCGCTGGCCACTCTGGGGACAGACTCTTCGTTAACAGACTAACCCTCCCCTCGCGTCTGCAGACACAGTCACCGCTCTGCAGGCTTCTGCCCAGTTCAGGACGCTGCCCAAGAAACCAGCTGCGCTTCCCAGACAGCGCTGTGCTCCCGTCCCCACTGCGCCTCCAGCGGGAAGGTCAGCTCCAGCCAGATTCCAGCGCCCCTCCAGGCTCTGCTGGACGCCCCCCACCCCCC